AGTCTTACAGTAGCTCTTGTAGGCCAAGACCTCCTCCTTCAAGGCAGCCAGCACCGCCACGTGCTCCGAGGCTGGAAAACCCCCAGAAGGTCACCAGCGAGGACTCACGGGACATCCTTCCCTTCTCCTGGGCCAGCCCCGGAGACCGTGAGATCCTCAACCACCCACCCCCTACCGGTCTCCAGGGTCCCAGACACTCCTGCCTTGCACATCCCAGGGACACAGGAGCCCCCGTGTTGCACTCACCATTTGTCCTCAGCAGGTCCTGGTGGCTGAGCAGCGCCCCGAGCTCTGTGGAGGCTGCGGAGAGAGGTTCCCGCAGGCGCGGCCCCGGGGGACAGGACAACTCCACCCTCGCCCAGGGGGTGTGGGGACCCTGGTCGTGGGACCCACAGAGGGCGGCGGGCAGACGCACAGCCCACAAAATGTGCACTCACACCGAGGGGAAACAAACACCTGGGACATGCTCACACATTCATGCATGCACACACACACACACGTGGGTGCACACAGTCCATAGATGTGCACACATTCTATTCGCACGTCTTCAAACTCAGACCCAGGCAGGTGTCTGGGACCCAGCTGGTGTGCCCTGAGTGGGGAGGTCTATGTCCCCTGGGAACTGGACATCTCCCCCCATTATGCAGTCACTCACCCTTGGAAAGTCCGATGGTCAGAATGAGGCCCCACAGGATGGTGGCAATCATGAAAGTCACAGCTAGCCAGAGGAGTCTCCATCCCCAGCGTCCACAGTACCCTGGAACAACACAGATGGACTCCTGATCCCTCCTGTACCAGGACCATCCTGGATCCCTGCGCCCTAAGGATCAAGCCCAGGACACTTGGGCTCCTCCCAGGAAATTGGGATTCAGATAGGTTAAGTAACTTGCCTATGGTCACCCAGCCCCTGAGTGACAGAGTTGGAATTTGAGTCCAGGTCCAGCTGGTTCTAGGACCTGTGATGTCTCTCTTGCACCACCACGTGGGCCCTCTCCTGGCTGTTCCCCTCCCTTTCCCCATCAAACCCCAAACCACTGGACAGAGGACCCAAGGGGGCAGGTGAGGCAATCCCATTGCTCATACCTCCAGGGGCCTCCTCCAGCCTGCTGTCCCATCTGTTGTACCTGGCAGTGTCCATGATGAGCAGGCTCCCAGCGCTAGGCATGGGTATAAATGTAGCCCCTCCCTCAACCGCTCCGCCCACTTCACTTCCTTCCTTCCCATCTCCTGAGTCTTCATTCCTGGTACCAGGGACCCACTGGCCAGTCACGGGGCTGGGCCCTTTCTGGAGTGGGCTGGGCTAGGGGTAAGGATGGGGTGAGGGAAGTAGGGGGTGGGAAAACGGGGGGATATAGGGGGGTTGAGAGAGTGGGGGTGATGGGGAGTGGAGTGTGTGTGTGTGTGTGTGTGTGTGTGTGTGCGCACAGTTCCAGCCTCCCTGGCCTGGCAGCTGCAGCAACATCTCCAGGATGGTTCTGGGGCTGCACTCTGGAGCTAGGTCCCCATCTCTTAGAGGTCTGGGGCTGGCCTTACTCCGAGAGACACAGGCTGAACTGGCCAAGTTCTGGCCCCTCCCTGCTGGTTGCTGAGAAAGCCCCTCAGGCGTGGCCCCCATGCCAGCTCAGCTTCCCTCCTCAATTCTCCTCAGGTGCTGCCAGAGGCTGGGTCTGCCCCTGCCCTTAATTCAATCCTTCTTGACCAGAAGGGAGAACACACACATTTGTTGGGTGGTGGTCAGCTAAGCTTCTGGACTCTACTAGTGGGTGGTGAGGGGTGTGTGCATGTAGCTTCTAGAAGCCTCAGTTTTTCTCCTCTGTGAAATGGGGGACAGTGACAGGGCCTCCCCCAAGGGATGCTGTGATAAAGGAATGAGGTCACGATGTCAAGCCCTGTACCGTCCCCAGGCACAGAACCCACTAATGCTCACTCATTCTTTCAACAATTATGGAAAATCTGCTGTGCCCCAAGATTGATCTAGAACCTGGGCTTCCATCAATGCCCAACATAAGCAACTTCCTTCCTTCTTGGAGCAAACATTCTGTAGGAGGTGGGGAGAGACAGACTGCAAATAATGAACAGAGTGAAAAAGTCAGTTGTAGAGCATAGTGGTTCTCACCCGGGAGCGATGATGCTCACAGGGGACACTGGCCAATGTCTGTGGTTGTCACAATTTGGGAGGTCAGTTCTACCTGCATCTAGTGGGTGGAGACAAGGATGCTGCTGTGGGGTCTCAGAATTGGTCACCCCTAAGTGTGTCAATTTGCCTTGATAATTTTTAAGGACAAAAGACTCTGAAAGAAACAATGACCTTCCCCCTAACTGCCTCAAGGAATTTAAGATAGAAGGCCTGTTCCAGGAGGGAGCTAATACCATAAGATAACATTGTCTACAGACGGCCCAGCAGACACTGTTCATTTCCATCTCCACATAAACTGCTTTCCTCCCGTTTGAGGTCCCCAAACACTACCCCTGACATCCTCTCCTTCAGCTCCTTCATCTGAAGATAGTATTTAAGGTGATGGCTTTGGCCATTGTGATGAGTTACTCAGCTTTCCTGGGTTTCTCCTATGTATACATGCTATAAAGCTATGTTTGATTTTCTCCTGTTATTCTGTCTCATGTCAATTTAATTCCTAGACCAGCCAGAAGGACCTAGAGGGTAAAGGAATTCTCTTCCTCACCTACGGTTTGGCAACTGGGATAGGATAAAACTTCACTGGCTGGATGCTGCTCGCTCCTGGAGTACACCAGCAGAGAGATCCTGGACCCCTGAGAAGAGCTGGCTGGAGGTAAGGGTTCTTACCACATCAGTGTCCCAGATCTCTGCCTGCAGGGTTCATTGGAAGGGAGAGTGGTGAGTTTTGTTTCCTTTTCTAAATTTAGATTAGCAGGACAAAATATTGGTGAAGCTGGCTTCTTGGACTAAGCGACTCTAGGAAATTTGGTTTGAGTACTCGTTGATTTATTGATCCTTTTCCTCCCAGAGGTGGTCACTATTTTCCCATGTTCTGTCTTTTGTGTTGTTTGTCATAAAAAGGAAAAACCAAAGAGCAAGATGCAGGCATCTATAAGCCTGTTGTCTGGGAATAAAGCTGTTAATGTGCATATAAGATGAGGTTTTTTTTCTTTTGTCTTGTTCTACGTCGTGAGAGCTTGGCTTTGTGACCTCTTTGGTCTCTGCCATCTGGAGGATGCATGTAATGGCATGCATCTTGGTGGCCAGTGGAATAGCCTGGGACTCCAAGATGCCCTCGCTTTGTCTGGCTGTGTCAGCTCTCAGGGGAGTTTTTCATAAGGGGTCCAAATTGTTTTCATTACAGGCCTCTGTTGTTTCAACCTTCATTCCTTGTTAGTGCAATGAAGGCCTTTGCTTTCTTAGACTATTTTTGGGAGTGAACTTTCTGGATCTGGTGAGAGCTGCTTCTCTTGCACCCTCCTTTGGAGACAGCTCTTGCATCCATGGTTAAGCTGTAAAAGGCTTGTTGGTTTGAGTCACTATTAAGACCCTACTCGTGAATGTGGTCAGATGATGGATCATTTACATCGGAAAAACCTTTAAATTGGAAAAAAATTTTCTGAGAGCTCTCATCATAATTGTTTTATTGGTACCTATGAAAATAACAAATTAAAAAAAGAAATACAAAATAAAATACTCACTATCCTGAAGACCCTGAGTCAGGCTACAATTAAATTGCAAAAGTAAAAGTATAAGTGTTGATAAGATTTAAAATCTTGGAATGTTTAAGATAATTTTATATAAAGAGGTTACATCAGCTTTGCCTAAATGTGTGATGTCTGACTGGGAATGCTTCCCCTCTCCAATATTATAAGACCAAAACCTATTGATAAAGTCCTAATGAAAGCTATGATCAGAGAGATAAGAGTTGATGGAATTCAGATGAAATTTTGTAGGAAAATTGATATATTTAGGGACTTTATGTGAAGAGATTGCATCTCTTTTTGCCTGATTGTGTTATAGATTGTATTATGTTAATAGACATCATGTCTCACGGGGAACGTTTTACCTGTCAGATTGTAGGACAGCATATAAATCTGCCCTTCAACAGTGTTGCTTAAACCTACTAAAGGGAAGTCAACAGGGTCGCCTAAGCCCACACTATAAGAGATAAAAATTAGAGGCTAATATCAGGTGCTAGTAAAAAAGATAATAAAAGTCCCCCAAGGTAAATTGGTCTAGGGCTAAATTGTACACTTAGAAGGAGGGACTTTGTTAAACACTTTGTGAAGACTTCAAAACGTGTGCTACATTGTCCTAAAGTTTTAAAACAATAGCTGCGGAATCTTTGTGTTTGTGTGTCTATATGTATGTTATATATGTGTGATTTTTTACCTCCTGATGGTAACACCATACTTAAGAGCTCCATTTAATTGGTTTAAAGTAAGTGCTTACAGAAATTATTTCTAAATGTAAAAAAACTAACGCAAATGTCTTTTAAGTTAACATAATATAAAATAATCTTTGGTAAATGAAAGCTTATTTAAGTTTGTTGGTTTGATTAAAATAGGCATATCCTCAGAGTTATCAACATTGGATATGATACCGACAAGCAGCCTGGGTTCACTAATCAAATAAGTTCATGTTATCCCTGTTACAAATTTGTCAGCAAAAGGATAGCTTTAAATAATAGCTGATTTTGTCTAATGTCTCATGAAGTTTTCATGGGTAATCTAAACATAATTTTTGGGAGCAAATGATTTAGATGTAAGTGAGATAAGTGTTTATGGATAAACTTTTAACAATAATTGTAGCTTATGGCATGTATATTTACAATAACTTCCAAAATCTCTTTGGTAACTTAAAACTTTAAGTTTAATGATAAAAATTCATCAAGTATCTAGATCATTTCCAAACAAGATAAACTACTGAAACATTAATTGCTAATCATGTCTAAATTTACCTACTTTTGTCTTATTACAGAGAAACTAAAAAGTGTTTGGGTCTATTAGAAAACATGTCTTGTGTTTAATTAAAAGGTTGTACTATAAAGTAACGTTTCTAGAAATCATAAGAAGTATTTATAAATCTGCCAAGCCAGAGAACGCTAATGTAAAAGACAGTTCATAATTGCTCATTTCTTAGTTTTCACTAAAAATTTAGGTCTATAAGGTTTAAGAATTTTAACTAATATATGTGACTAAAGCTACTAAAAATTAGTAACAGAAACGTCTTTGTATTCAAGGAAAGTAAAACGTATGTTTTCAGTAAAGAAGGTATAAAGAATGGAAATATTTTTGTTTTTTTTTTTAAGAAAGATAAATTTGCCCTAAAGTACTAGAAGTGAAGAAAAAAGGCATGGGACAAATTCTGAATGCAAAAAGAAAGTTATAGAAGATTTGTGAAAGAAGAATTCTGTAAAAAGAGTTTTGTATATGGTCATGTTAGCTAAGACTAAAATGAACTTAAGTGTATGAGTTTTTTTGTTATTTGTTTGTTTGTTTGTTTTTGGTGAGATACACTAGCCCTGAGCTAACACCTGCTGCCAATCCTCCTCTTTTTGCTGAGGAAGGGCTAACACGCATTCCCATCTTCTTCTACCTTACATGAGGGACGCCTGCCGCAGCATGGCTTGATATGCGATGCGTAGGTCTGTGCCTGGGATCCAATCATGCAAACCCTGGGCCACTGAAGCAGATCACGTGAACTTAACCACCATGGCACTGGCCCGGCCCCAAGTGAATGAGTTTTAATATCGAAAGTAAGCTGATACAATATTAAAATTTGTTTTTTCCCACTCTCTTAAAAGGATAATTCTCTTGCTTTTAGTCTGCTCTTGATAAAAAGATTATGAAAGGTTTTTATGTTTTATCAAAATTAATTTCCTATATTGTTTTATCAGGTCTTTAATCACAGGTGCTAAAGTTTTCTTCAGCTTTAATTTTCTGCATTTGCCTAAAATTCTTTCATTGCCACTGTGGTTAAATTGATACCTAAGCATTGTCTTATATGAACCTATAATACTGGGTGGGTAAATGTATACACATAAATGTTTTAAAAATTACATAACGTTCCTAAAATTCTGATCCATCCTAGTTATCAGTCATAATTCTAGTCTTTATCTTAAAGTGTTGTATGTCACAGAAATAACCAAATTTCTTTGTCAATTGCCATTTTTAAGTCTTTTATCATTTATAGACAGTTTTGTT